GGGACACAAATACCCTATTAAACAAATATTGGCTCCAGTGTGCGATCAAGAAAAAATAGAGGAGGCAGGGCTCAGGGGAAGGGTTTTGAAAATATTGCAAGGTGGTTTTAAATTCTTTTTACTGTACATTTGGACAGGAGTTAGAAAGGCTATAACACAGACATGTAAGTGTTGACGCAATGTCCTCACTACGAGACAACACACTCACTTGTTAGATATAAGCATTCATTTCCTTTAAAAACCATCATCTCATGGGAATGACAGATGACACTGCTGTAGTAATGTGGTACTCCCATAACAGCTCGTTGCCAATACCCTTTTAGGTTTAAATAAACTTATTTAAAAAAAAAATCTCAGGTCCCCACACTTCTCCTTTCCTTAATGAGAATGATGCAAACACATGATCCCAAACACAGATAAAGTTAACATGCCTCTCCACTGTGTTGCACTATCAGTTGAAGGCTTCATGCTTCCTACTTCACAAAGCAGACGTGTGGTTTTCTTTTTTGAGCTCACTGCATGAACTAAGCTTAAGCTCTTCCTCCACAAAGATATGGAGATGACACTTCCTGTGCAGTCAATTCCTGCCGCTGGCTGTGGGCAAGAAAGTGGGCACGCGCCTTCCTGCGGTCCCTTTGCCTAGGGACCAAGCACAGGATTCTTTTGAAAAGCATGATACAGTACACCTATGTTATAATGCAATATAGAAACTCATGCAATGGAGTTTAACTATCACGAAGGTTCGAAAATTAGAGGTAGTAAAATGTTCTATAAGGAGCACTGGCCTTGTCACACAGCTCTGGGCTCCACTCTTTACTCTGAAACTCACTAGTGTCACCTCAGACAAGTACCCTGATCTTCCTAGGCCTCAGTTGTCACATCTGCAAAAGAGGATAGATAATAAAGTAAGGGCCACACAAGGTCACTGTGAGGACTAAAGGAAACAGTGTACGTAAAGATCACAGCATGGCGGCCAGCACCTATTAACAGTAAATGCTCCCTGTTAGCTATTCATTCCAATTCTTACCCAGAGGCGATGACCAGCAAGGACTAGAAATGCGGTCAGATAAATCATGCTCAGAGATGTCTTCCCTCATACCCACCCCATGTCCTGGAACTCGGCAATGACCCAGCCTTGACAGGATGTGTCTGCCAGGCTGCATGAAAACTGCTTGCTTATATAAGTTGTATAACCCCCCAGTACACCTCTCACAATGCATAGGACAAGCACTCTAGAAATATCGGCTCCCAACTCCCTGAGCCCAAAGTGAAGAGAATTAAAAATAGTGCCTGTGACTGGGGAGAGTAAATGACCCTCATTCACTATATCCATATTAAAATTAGTTTGCATTTCTTATACATGTATCTTCTGACAGCAAAAGAAAGCTGGATGTCAGGAGAATGTTATTTAGCAACTTAAAAGTCACCACAGGTAAGCCACTAAATAGATAATGGATAACACAGACAGGAAATAAAACAACTAGATGTCAATTCTGAACAATTAGTTAATAATAAATCATGGACCTAACTCAAGTCACAAAAGTGATCAAGGGAGCCTTGCACTATAGAATAATCCAGAACAAAGGAACATCTGAAATGTAAGTATTGATTAGGGAAAGGGGAAATCTGTTCTCCGCAAAGGAAAGCTGAACTTGAAGTAGAAGGTATTTCAGAGAGCTGTGAGATGTCTCCGTTGATGGCAGAGGCTCTTTCTGGCACACTGCAACTGTGGTACTGTGTCCCCAGGCACACTGAAGCAGACTACTAGAAGCTCACTCCCAGGGAGTTTTGATTTTAAAAAAAGAAAGCCAACCTTGAAAATCTGTCTTGAAGTACCTTTCAATGGTAGGCTACATTAGCTAAGAGGTTTCATTAAACATTACATCAGTCTAGGAGCAGTCTGTTGCCAATGTGCCCAATACAGCAATTAGATTTCAATTTCCAAAAGAGAGAGTAAAGATTTACCAAGGGCCAGAACAGTATCTAGTGTCTGGGTGGTAATTTAAGGAAGCCACAAGAATACCATGGCCTCTCAATCATTCCCAATCTCTGGAACTCAGGTGAGAAGTTTGACAGGCCGTGGAGACCTTTAAGAAAGTACCGCTTACAGACCTCTACAACTGCTTCCCGTGACACTGGTACCAAGGCCTCAAGGAAGCCTGCTTATTTAATGGGAAGGATAAATTATTTCCATTTCTGAACATACGGTTTAATATGAAGCAAAGGGCAAGGCCTCTCTCTCTGCCCAAGGGGAGTTCTCCAGCTGGGACTGAATTCATATTCAGGGATGATGCTGTTTGTGGATTGATTACTGCTGCCTGCGGTGGTTTGCTTGACTGTGTGTGGATTGCTGCAGCTACGTGCACAAGCAAGAAACAAAACTGAGAGCACCAACCTCCAGTGTGAACTCTGACATTTTATTAATACCAATATTTCTTTGTTGACTCTCTGTATATATAAAAAGGGAAGTAAAAAGCAACAGAATTCACTTCAAATTGAAGGAGAAAACTCATTTCACCTTCTGGCATCTCTACTACACACTAGGAGGTATGGAACCACGGGCAAGTTATTTAGCAATAATTATGATAATTATGATGATAATTGTTAACAGTCACGGAGAATTATGTTTTGGGTGCTGTTAATAATTCTGCATACTTTAATCCTTAAGCTCAGATTTCCTCATTTGTAAATTGAGGATAATAATGCACCTATTTCATCTGCAAGTTGAGGCAGCAGGGTCAAAAAGATCAGTTTGAACACAGACAGACATGGGTTAAAACCCTAGCTCTAATTTCTACTATTTGATCTCACTGAGCTTCCATTTCCTCATCTCTACAGCAGAGATGAAGCCACCCACCTCAAAGGACTTCCATGAGGAACTGAAGGAGACAGTAGGTCAAATGCCAGCTGGTATCTGTACCACCAGGTGGTGTCCAATAAATGTGTATACTCTCTCTCCTGTTATACATGTGAACTGCTCCTGTTAGCCTCCACCAGGAGCAATGTCCATAGTATCCAAAGATGCAGTTCCTTTCATAACAATGATAATTTTACCCAGAGCAAGCTTAATATGCCAGATAATGGCTCCACAGCTTTATATCATCTATGAACTCATTTAATCCTCACCACAATCCACTGAGGTAGGTACTATTGTTATCCCCATTTTACAGAAGAAAACATGGAGGCAAAGAGTTTGAGCAACTCGCCCAGATTCAAACGGAGGGTACCAGAGCCAGCAGCCTGGCTCCATAGCCTGTCCTCCTAACCAGGATGCAACAGTGCTTATTGGGTCAACGTGTTTGAGATTCCATGCTTAGATGGAATCTCTTCCAGATATAGGCACTGGCTGCTCTCACAAACGGCAATGTGTTGACTTGACAAACTTTTCAACTTCTGAAATAACATGTTGTGTATTTTCTTAGAATTCCTAAAAAAAACCCTACATTTTAAATAAGGTGCCTATAACTAGTTCATCTTGTTCTGTATGCTGGAATACCATAAATAAATGCACTTCTTTCTCTAAAAATTGCCTAAATAAATCTTACATTAAAATACACCCCCGAGTTTTGGTTTAAACAATGATTTCAAGTCCAAACTAACCAGATCACAGTCTTAACGTGAACTGTTTTGTTAAACTAATGACTTCTACACCAATACTCCAAATATTCCACTTATTTTTAATATTCACTAACAGCCACGCAGCAGTACTGTATGGTATTTCAAAGTACCATGCCTTTTACAAATTTAATCAACTCAAGTATTAAACATCAATGATGATAATCCATTGCTCTGCTTAAAAGAAATCTCTAGGGGCCAGCTGAGAAAAAAAGGTTAAAGATTTCTACCCTTCAAAGTAGGGCACTGCAGCTACCTATAAATCATGCTCTTTGTTTATTAAGATAATTAAGCCCATCAGTACACTTAACTTTCAGACTCAACAATTGTCTGGCACGAACAATTTCCACTTTTTCTAAAACAAAGGGGATGTGTTCAAAAGGGGGTCCTCTGCATGCTCTCTGCACAATGCATGCTATTTTAAAACATGATTTATGTGTCTAATTCCTGGAGCTGCCTTGAAAAATATACTGGGTTCTTCCTCCCATGCTCCCCGTTAGGAGAAGACAGTCCAATTTGAAGAGTGCACTGTGTTTCAGACCACAGGCAGCTATATCATGTCAGCATTTTCATTAAATACTGTTCAAGCTGGACTTTAAACAAATGGAATGGAGAGCCACAGCTGCAGCCACTGCAGAGAGACAAAGTTATCCAGCCGGGAGGCTTACATAAGAGGTGCAGGACAATCACGGTGAAACCCAAATGTCATCATCTGAATCCTATCTCTTTTGAGACATGCCCACATTCTTAAAGTGTATGAAATCACATGCACAGAGCGTTTTTCTCATTTTATTTGCCTTAGAGCACAAAACACCGGGTTGATATATAAGTTGTTTTTTCCCTAAAGGACTAGGCTCCAATTATGGAAACGTTGGCAACTTCTGTCTTGGGGAAGAGTAAAGTGGGATGCGCGGGAAGCCTGCAGGCCTGAATGGCTTAGCTCCCCTTCCCAAAGATCCATCACAGTGCTGGGCATCCAGGGAGAGTCGCTCCCCCCGGACTTAGGATGTAGGTGATAAGACCTCGTGGACCCCCCACACACACAACAGCGCGAACACACACACACACACACACACACACACGTCAAGGAGCTCGGAATGTGCAATTAGCAAGCAGCAGGCGAAATGCCCTCAGAGCACCTGTCCTCTCCCAGCACATTTCCAACTGGCACATTCGTCAGAGGCTGGGGCCAGCCAGTCCTGGACTCCAGGCTCTCCCCGCGTCCGCGTGTCCTGTCCCCTTTTTCGCACCCTACACTCCCCCACCAAGCTGGAACGCTGCTAACGAGATGTGCCACCCCCGGCTTCCCAAAACATAAAGATAATAAAAACGAACCTCTCCCTCCCACGGCTCCCCTGCAACTTCAGAAACTCCAGTCAACTTACCGGGACTCAGGAGGCAGGGAGTCTTCTTGGGGGACCGCGCTCTCCGAGGCAGCCTCGCAAACTCCGGCGCGCAGTCCCGTCGGCCCCGCACTGCCCCGCCGCAGCGGCGGGTGCGGGACGAGATGCCGCCGCTCTGCACCAGCCGCCTCGGCTCAGCCGTGCCCGGCGCGGGGCACCCGCCGGGCGCACGGCCCGGAGGCGGCGGCGGCGGCGGCGCCAACCGAGGCTGCAGCCCGCCGCACGGACCCGAGCGCTGCAGCCGCCGCCGGCCCGGGAGTGAGAGCACCTGGTGCGTGTCTCCGGCTCCAAGGGAATCACGGCTCGACACGAAACCCGGCACGAGAGAACCCGACGTGCCGCCACCCGGCCGCTCACATCGCGGGCGCGCCGGCGGGCGAGCAAGCGGGCGGGCACCGCAGTCCGTACTCGCCGCCGAGCCGCGGAGAATGACAGGCGCCGAGGCGGAGCAGCCGCGCGGGGCGCGGGGCGGGAGTGCGCATGATCCCGGCCCGCTGCGGCACGTCACGGGGGAGGAGGGGCGGGGAAGGGGCGAGCCGGGAGGGCCGGGCGGGGCCGGGGTGGGGGCCCCCACGGGGGATGCTGACCCGCGCTGCTCTCTGCCTGCTCGCGGAAGGGTGCGGGAGAACTGTCTCCTCGGGTTCTGGTAACCTAAATAAAGCTCTGTGATTGAACTTGTTTTTCTCTGGAGTCCATTGTCCCTTGGAAAGGACTGTTTAAGCAGTCCTTAAGGTCCCAGGCAAGTCCACAAAAGCCAATTTTACTGAGCTTATAGCTTAACCATAAAAGGATTGTGATCTGGGGAACGATGGTCCTCTACTGTGGCTGTACATTAAAATAAGTTGGGAAGCCTATAAACGCCCTTTGCCCTGGCCACACCCCAGAACAAGCACAGGAGAATCTCTGGGTGGGGTCCAGGTATTAGTAGGCTGTAAAGCCTTCCCCAAAGATACCAAGGTACAGCTAGTGTTTCTCAAACCTTTAATGTGTGACACGATCTCCTGGGAATCTTGTTAAGACATAGATTCAGATTCCACAGGCCTGGCAGGCAAGGGGCGATTCTTCATGTCTGACAAGCTCTCAAAGGTTGCCAATGCGGCAGGTCCAGATCACACCATCATTGCTACTCAAAGAAGTGTTGTCTAGAGCCTGGAGCAGCGCTTCTGAGAGTCACCCAAGGAGGTTTTTAAAAATTCAGACCAAATGCCCACACCCTACCTACCCTGGTAGTGGTTCTGGTTCAGCGGCTGGACAAAGGTGGGGCTGTGGAATTCCATTTGTAATAAGCACTCTGAATAAATCCAATAGGGGCTTTGTTTGGACCAAACCAGGTTTACACCGGCAACCTAATGTTGGGAATAGACTTTTACATGACAAAGAACCAAGCCAGGTCTAGAACTCAGGACATCTAATTCAAAATCCAGTGCATTCTAAACCAACTGGTGCTTTATCTGACTAGTCCCAATCATCTACAATTATTATGAATTACTTAGCAGGAAAAAAACATATAAATGGTATTAAACATAAATGCATACGTTCTATTGAACACTGTTACACATATGAAAGGGGGCTTAAAATTGGCTGGGGAAGCGGCTCATTCCGGAGGGAGTAGGGAGCAGAGTGATGGAATAAGGGATGGTAGTGTGTTGCAGAGGGTATTGAGGAGGAAACAAACTTCAGACTCAACCTAAAGCTTGGATAGGCACTTTGGGGAAGAGGATGTATGGACCAGACTTGGCCTCCTGCTTCAGAGCGTGGTGTGAAACTCAGGCATTCAAGAGCTTAAAGGCATGGCATTTCACATCCGTTGCTTCATTGAAATCTCACAATGGTCTCTTAAATTGAATAAAAAAAGAAATTACATCCATTTTACACATTAAAGGCGACACACTCTGGACATTAGTTGACCATTTACGTGGAACGTGAATAAAAGCAAGGATCTTGGTGCCCCATGTTTCTCCTAAGAAAAACAATTCAGATCTTATAAAGCAAATGATTTCTGTGTTTACTAGTCTCATCTTTTAAAGACTGTGCCTAAATTTTGAGTTCAAAAGGCTTTCATTCTTGTATGGAGGAAATACGTTTATGTCTTCATCCCAGTTTTGCAGCTCCACATGTAGGGACTGGGAAATGTGTTTCTAAGAGCAACCCAGTCCTAGGACATTGCAGTTACACAGTGCAGGATTCACTGAGGACTTCGAAGGGCAATGCTCACATTTTCTGGTGACAAGTATAATTACCCTGCTATTTTACCCAGGCCCAGAAGCTAAGTGATTTAGACTAATCACTAATCCAGGCAGGGGCCAGTCTCAAGCCTCTTTTCTTTTCGTCTGCTCTCTTTTCACCAAATGACATAGTGAAGATTGTTTTCCATTTCCAAATTTTTCATACCAAGATTTGCCATCAGTAAATTAGAACCCAAATGTCTTTCAAAGCCACAACTTAATGTAGAATCAGAAGTGTCAGGAACAATTCTCGTGCTTGTGGTAAATGCTATGGACTATACTCCCAGTCTGAGTAAAGTTTCAGAAGGAAGTATGTGATATTTATATGCAATCTTCTAATCCAGAGGTCCGCCTTGGAATGTTGTCTTGCCAACTCTATCCTACACACCTCCATCTTTACTTCCTGTGTAACTCTTCCATAGAGCTATTCTTCTGTGTGATTATAAAATAAAAATAAATAAATTCCTACCAGAAAGAGATTCTCTGTAAATGAAGGAGCTGGCACATTATAGGTTATAGAATTTAGTTCACTTTTTAAGAAATATTTTAAATATGCCAGGTGCGGTAGCTCACACCTGTAATCCCAGCACTTTAGGAGGCCAAGGTAAGAGGATCCCTTGAGGCCAAGATTTTGAGACTAGCCTGGACAACACAGTGAGACTATTTTTTTTACAAAAAATGAAAAACCTAGCCAGCCATGGTGGTGCATGCCTGTAATTCCAGCTACTCAGGAGGCTGAGGCAGGAGGATTGCTTGAGCCCAAGGGTTCAAGGTTGCAGTGAGCTGTTATCTCCAGCCACTGCACTCCAGCCTGGGAGACAGAGCATGACCCTGTCTCAAACAAACAAACAAACAAACAAATAGTTTAAATAAGAAAATTACTAAGGTGGCAGAATAATCATGTTGGGACTTTTAGGAGAAAAACCCAAAGTCGACATTCTGTTTTCTTTGGTGCTAGAAACTCCAATCAAAATATTTATTTATATAGTATTTGAATTCATTTGCATATTGACTTCAAGAGATCCAAGATTTAATTACATAAAAAGTTAATTGGTATGTCCCACTGCCATTATATTTAAGCCACTATTATTAGCATTAAACATATGAGTTGTATAATATTGCCTTGATACTGTATTGACCGTGTCTTAATATTGACTGTGTCTGCATTTAGAATTTGTTTCACATTAGCTGCTATTGTTGTCTGGCAGGAGTAGCAGCTACATTTTTTTCCCTGAGGTCTGTATTCCTTATGGGTCAACAAAGCCTGCTCTTTGGCTGAGAATTTCTTTTTTCAATGCCTCTAAAATCCCAGTAGTGAGGTTTTCAATTATACAGACACCAACAACTCCACTGAACCTATTCTCCCCTAGTTCAAGAAACTGTACCTCGGATAGGTAAACTCTTCCTGCCAAAAATCACACATATCCCTAAGCTGAGAAATTTTGTCTCAAAAATTCTCCACCTTTATTAATTGCATTTCTTCATGCATTTCACTCAAAGGGATTCTTTGGCATGAAAATCTTCAATCTCTGCCTACTTCATAGACATAGTCCAGATAAGAGAACAGTGGGAAGTCCCAGGTGGCTGATGTGGCTGAGATAGAGTCAAGAGCAAAGAGTTAGATGCCGCTCGGTGAAAAATAAGTTTGCCATAAAAATACAAGTTGTACTTGATTTTTGGACATGGTTTATTACAAAGTTTGCCTTGCTTGAACACATGCAGCAGCTGATACGTGTACTGGAAACCATAACTGAATCCCTGGTGGGCAGTGGGGCTGGTGGTGGGGAGATTAGCATTCTGTCTTTTTTCCTGAGAAACTTTTGAACACTATTAGAAAGCCCAATTCCTGCCCTAACACAGAAAACTTATGCAGTGCCTGTGTTTCAAACGTTCATGTCAAAATCAGTTCATTTAGAACTCAGAGCATCCAATATAACAAATAATCTGGATTTTCAGGCTAGCTCGAAAATGTTTTTTAAACCTCTATTAACAAATAAGTTCACAGAATGTGAATTATATTGCCAAGCCTGCAAAGAAATAGGTGTTGGGTAAGGATGCTGGCTGGAGACAGGAGTGGGGTTAGGGGCAGGGAGGATGGAATTTATAAGTGGAAGAAGATGACTAAAAGTGATGTTTGGTGGCTGAGAAGCAGAAGCTGGTGGAGACTAAATAGCAGCAGCTTCTGAGATAAGGATGGGAGATGGCCTGTGACCAAGAAGAGAAGCAGCGGTTGAGACTGTTCTGGCAACACAGGGCTTACCTGTACTTAAAGCATTGATTCCATGTTTGACATGATCTATAGGAAAGAATGATCAGAGATGAATAAATATATTATAAATTCCTTAAAATCTGTTATAAATGCATCAAAGAACTATTATAGAAATGTACATTCAATTTCAGTCTCTAAGAACTACCTACTCCTTCCTTCCAACCAAGTTTCCCACTAATAGGAGGAGAGAGCCGCCGGGGGAGCAGCACGGTGTGAACCTCACAGGCTGTCGGGCAGCATCTCCATCTATCAGCTGCAGTCACGTGGCTGCCATCTTTGATTACCTAACACAAAGTGACGAGAGCTTCAAGCACATATTAGGCCCCTAATAAATGCTAGCTGTTAGTGGTGAGCTTTTTTTTTGTTTTTTAAATCTCTCCTAGAGTTAAAATTTGTAGCTAGACATCTCTTAATGTCCATTTTATCACTTTAATGTAAGGCATGATTGACTGTAGTTTTTAAGAGAGCACTTTCCTTTTCTGAAAGAAGACTTAAAAATGACTTTAGGGCTCCTCTGAGA